CTACTCCTGACGGTGATCCAAATGTTTTATTTGAAGGAGGTTATGAAGGCCTTAACAATGACCAAATAATAGGGTGGTCTTCTCGCCTTCGTTTAGGACACTATAGATGGTTGAGAGGACCTATCAACCATCTTTGAAGAGAGCAAAGATCAGAGTATGTAGCAAATATAATTCGTCGCATCTTGGACTTCCTCAACATAAAAGACTGCTCCTCGTGGAACTTGTCCCTAGAAGTGGAGGTAATATCACGGATATATATATTTACCTCAATAGTTACTTATATGATTAAGTAGAAGTAGGTAAAATAGAATAATTTCATAAAGTCTTTTAGAGAAGCTTCTTAGAAGCTTTATAGACACGGTTTTGACTTTAGATGTGTTCGTAGGTTAGAAACTTGGTCAAAAAGCTAACCATGTATTGGTAGCTTGTGGAACAAGTTACCTCCATGTTGTACCTTGTAGAACAAGCCAATTACATGGCGCATATATAGATAACTTGCCTTGCAAGATAAGACATGTGGTTAACAAAGTCAATACATGTTCGAGGTCCTATAGGACATCGCCATGTGGCTCTTAGTTAGATAGTATATATGGAGGCAAGAGTGAAGTCTTCTTCATTCTTGTCAACGCCTTTTTAGTCTTAGACTTGTTTCAAGACTTTCTAGACTTCTTGTTTTTGGCAATAGCCATTCTAATTAATATTACATCATCTTTTGAATGACTTTCTAGTTCTCTTTAATGATAGAAGAGTGTATTGAGGATTCCCTTTCTTTGAGATTCATGTCCTTGACATATGGTAATGTTGATGCGTACTAGTGCAATTCTCAAATCAAAAATTCAACAATTGATTGTCACATTTCACAATAAAGTTAATTGCTTGACTCGATTTTTGAGGATCACGTAAGTTGAGCATCAATTCTTTTACTTCATATTATAATCCATAGAAAAATTGGCTAAGAAATACAACATCATCCCACTTGATATCAATTGCAAGTTATTAAAACTATAAAACATATTACATCACTAATTGATTGTCTTGTCACAAAATATAGATCTTGTTGGTTGTAACACAAATTGTATCATGTTTTTTATACATGGATTGAAACTTTATCAAAATAGCTTTTAGATTATCCAATATTAAATCTCGTCATTTAAGAAAAGAATAAAATCATGATAATGCTAAGTTTGAAAGAAGTATATTAATGAATCTAACTTGTAATCTTGGAATTAGATAGCTTAGAATTGAAGTTCAATTACAAGTTGTACTTGATTGATAAATCTTCAAAACTTAGATTTTATGCCATCAATCTTTGATTTTATAAAATTAAAAAGATGTTCTATTGTAGAAGAAAGGATATAATTTGGTGTAGATGTTGAAGCAGCTCCAATCATTTTTACATCTTTGCTTTCTATCATTTTTGTTGCTATTTGCAGTCATAAATTGAGTTGATGCATCGTAAGTATTAAATCCCTCAATTGTTCTTGCATTTGTGCTATTACACTCTTTATTTCAAAAAGCTCTACCATGATAATATTTAGAAGAGAAGATGTATAATATTACTCAAGAGAAATAGAAGAGAGGACTTGAGAACAAAAAAATACTAAAGATAATATCAGTTTAGAAGAGAGTAATTCACAACTTCTAATATGCTTATATCTTATTTAGAAAAAGAGATAATCTACTCTTAATCAAGAAAAGATAATACTTTGATAATATAAATGTATACTCTTATCAATTTGTCAAGGACAAAAACCTGATGAAAGTTAATAACTAAATGAGACTTTTTTCAAAGAAGTATGACAAAATAAAAATAAAAAAATATGTATATTAAAAAAAATAGAATGGCTATTGTCAAAAGATAAGAAAACTAAATATTCTTGAATCTAGATTAGAACAAGAAAAAAATTGATAAGAATGAAAAAGGCTTCATTCTTGCTTTTATATATATTATCCACTTACAAGCTATATGACAACGTTTTATAGGACCTCCAACATGTGTTGACTTTGCAAGCCACATGTCTTTACTTCTAAGGCAAGTTTTTTATGTATATGCTACATAATTAGCTTATTCCACAAGTTGACTTAATTTATAATAACTTTGGAAAGTTTGAAAGAAATTGAATGATGAAATTTAAAGATATCAACGATGGGAGCCTAGCATAAAGATTGGAAATGAAGCCAATCAACATACAAGCAGATTTTAGGATTTATCTTCTATTTGATATATTTTGTTTTACTTATTTTCAACTTAGTAATTGAGAAGTTTTAAAATTTGAGTTGAAATTAATAATTAGATTATTAATTGTTGAGATTTCAATCTATTATAAAATTTATTAAGAACTTATTTAAGTTTTAAGATTTGATTAAGATTTGATTTAGATTTTATTTAAGATTTAAGATTTGATTAGAATTTATTATAGGTTTAAAGATTTTATTAGAATTTGGTTTAGAATTTGATTAGCATTGATTTAGGATTTTATTAGGATTTTATAGGATTACATTAGGTTTTGATTAAGATTCAATTAGGATTTTTATTTTTAATATTAAAATTTTAATCAAAATTTAATCAAATGTTAATATATATATATATATATATATATATATATATATTAACGATTAATTTAAAATTTCTTTACGTTTCTTTTGTAATTTCTTTAAGACTACTTTAAAATTTGATTAAAATTTGATTAGTATTGTTAAGATTTAATTAGACTTTATTTAGGATTCTATTAGAGTTGCTTGGACCTTGTTGTTGCAATTTCCATTTTACCTTCCTTAGCTAGGTACCTGGTGCATTTTCAAGCAAAATTTATAAAATATAACAGCTATAAAAGTAGAATATTATAAATGGTAATCTATTCATAAACATATACTATCATTTAAGCATCTTGCTTTGCTATATAAATGTTGTGCTCAAGCAAGTCAACAAGGTATAATAAAAATCAATACAATCTCAACATATATTTAGGTGGATAAATAGATATAAATATTTTTTATTTTAAATTAAAAATAATACATATAGTAGTATTTTTCTAGTATCAGTTATTAATGTTTAAATTATGTAATATTACCATATAATAAATCAAGTTTTATTATTCTAATTATTGAATAAAAAATCAAAAAAGCTTATTTTAATTTTTTTTGAAAAAAAAAAATTTTAAAATAAAAATAATAATAGAATAACTAATTAATTATATTATGTAATTTATAAATTTATTCTATTATTAAAATCTTAATGTTTGTTTGATTTAATATAATTTTGAAGTAATTTTATTTTAACATGTTACAAAATCAAAATACAATTTAATTACAAATTATATATAAATGATGATCTTTAATGTTTTTTTATAATAAATAGGTTAAATATAGATAAATATGTAAAATCAATAAAAATAATATGTCGAAATTGTGAAATCTAAAAATCTGTTTTTTTTTCTCCAAAAAATTATAATATTCTTACTTTGGTTCTAAATATAACTTTGAATTAATAATTTTAAGTTCTCAATCAAGTTATTGATAATATCTTTTTTATTATTGTGTTATTTTACAAAAATTAAACTTAAAAATATGTATTTAATTTCTTCATGAACATATATATATATATATATATATATATATATATATTTACAAATTTAAATATAAAAGATTTAACTTATGTTATTATTTAATTTAAATTTATTATTACTTTATATTTCATATCTTCATTATGTATTTTTATGGAATTTAATATTGATAAAGAGTTATAAATCAAAAGAAAAAAATCAATAATTGACAAAAATATTTTTTAATACAATATATATATATATATATATATATATATATATATATCACTTTTAGAATTAAAAAGAATAAGAACAAGTGATAATTTATTAACAATATAAAATAGAAAACTATGACTTATTAATGCATTGCCTTGGAATATGTGGTACAATGGTAGCATGTAGAAATTAAAAATGAAGAATAGCAAGTTTGTTTTTAATTATCCTTAATATTCAAAGAATAAATTAAATTTGATAATATCTAATTTGTTATATGTACTACATGAGGGTGTGGTGGGACTTTTGGTGTAATAAAAATTTTAATTTATAGAATAAATGACCACAACACTGTGCTTTTATTTTTATTTATTATTTACTTATTTTAATTTTTTTGATGCAAAAACAGGATATACCCAATGCATTGATAGATTAAAAAGTACATTGATGATATCTCAACTCCTAATATCCAAGAGGTGGAGTGCGAGCTCTTTAATAATGAAGTTTGGATTATACCTAAATCCTTATACTTTTGTGTACAATCACACAACATTATGATATTGTACACTTCTACTTGATAATATGAGGTGACATAATGTTATTTTTAGAGTTCTTATTTTTTCTTTACATTGCTTCATGGAAATCAATACAAATGAAGTGATGCATTAAAGTGAGAAATGACAATTGATAAATGAAGTTATGAAAATACAGGTAGCATCTCAGATGAATGCACATAAACAACTAAAAAGACAAACAAAGAATACAATTTTTAATATATAATACATATAAATATAAAAACGCTTTTTGAAAGAGGATTTCGGATACATGACACTAACATAAGATAAGAACAAAACATTTGCTCGTGCCACCACCTCACCAGTTGCTTGAGCTTCTTCTTATCATATTAGATTATGTACAAATAGAAACTTAAGGTGTGTGTAAAAGAAGAGAAAAATGAACAGATTGTACATTACAATTCCTCTCAAGCATTGGCGGTTACAAGATGCTCATCTTTTCAAGTGAATTTTTTAAAGATGGAAAAGAGAAGAATTGAGAGCCAATGTCAACTGCCAGCCCGGACGGACTTCATTCCCAGTAACCTGTTTCCAATCAGTGCATGGTGCGCCTGTGTCAATGAAGTTCGAACAGATCTTGAAGCATACATGATCTGGAACTCTCATTTCATCAAAACTATTTGCACATGATCTGGAATCCTCTTAATCATCCACACAAATTCAGCGCCTCTAAAAACAGGAACAAGGGCAACTGCATTTCGCAATATTTCGATTGAGACCGATCTGCTACTTTCAATTACAAATGATACCTTGTGACCTTTGTATCCGACGGTACGCCATGGTGGGCCGCTTGCACAAGTTGTAAACTAAGATCATTGGATGTGCATGTGTATGTGCAACAGAGCATCACTCTACTCGATATCCGAGGTGAAAAAGATAATGTATTGTTACCACTAAAACCAGCTTCTGAGCCTCCAAGGGATATGCAAAAAATAGTTTCCCATAATCCTTTTCTCACTCCTCTCTCTACACTATTACCTACTGTCTCCTTGCAACAGAATAACCTGACACAAAGTTGGTCTTCATCTCAAATACGTGCAAGCACCAAAGAGGAAGATGTACGAAACAAGCGATGATGTAAGTTCCAGGGTCCACGAGGGAGGAAGAATTTTTGTAGGAATGACCGGTACCAAAAAGGAGGCGAACACCCAGCCTAGGACCAACGCACCGAACCTGTACATAACCCAAGGCCAACATCAGGAATTTTAACAATGATAAAGTCTAATATTCTCCATAAACAAGTATAATACATAATTAAACGAATGTCAACAACCAAACCGAGCATTAAACTCCTCCCATTATCACTAATGATAAGCGGCATGCGTCTACTCAAACTTCAGACTCAGAGGGCTATTTGTACAGAACATACCCAATGAAGAAAGATCTGCCAACAATCTTTATGCGATCATTGAGAAAGTAAATACACGCCACAAATGACGTGAGCACCTGATGAGAAGATAAGCAAGCAAGCAAACAACCAACCACAACTAAGTACAAAGTTGATGTCCCTACTGGTTATAATCGATCGTTACTAGTTGATGAATATACAACCCTGGTGTGCAACTCGAAATGAAATTGTTGTAACTAGTAATCACTGCTTCGTTGCTCCGGAGACGATATAATGAGATTGGATCAAGGTATAATTGAAGAACACTCTTGCCTGGAAAGCAGGGCCCCTTTGCCCAGGTTTGAGCACGCTCCATACTCCAAGTAAAGCATAAAATACGGCTCTCTTTATAATGTCATCTTTGTTCGGAACTTGATACATACCAACAATCTTCTGCTGCCAAGCGGGCAAGGGTTTGATCTCTTTCTTCTTTGGCTTGAATTGCGACTTTTGGTATTCACGCAATTTCTCCATCATAATTTTATCGTATGCAACTTCGATCGACTCCATGCTTTTTGCGTCACCACCATACTTGAATACCCAAAGCAAAAAAACATCAACACAAACTATGCTTCATTACAAAAAAAAACATGATATGAAACACCCAACAAATGAATAATAGTATCAAATGCTAGTAGACATCTCCGATCACCCCAAGTAAACGTTTTAATTAACACTAAAGATATATGTTCCTGGTAACCTAAGTACCTGACTAGCCAGGTAGCTGCGGGCTTCCCGAACCTCTTCCTCCCCGGCTTCCCTGTGGATTCCCAAGAGCTTGTAGGGGTCTCGCTCTCTGATTCTTGGAAATACTGTTCAAATATTATAATCCAATTCATGGTGATTGAGTAAACACAGGTGAAGACTATTCGTTGCTCATGCGTGGATGTTCCAAACCTTAGTCAGCAAAACACCCAACGCTGCAACATGCACATCGTCATCAAGTATCAACTGATAAAATTAGGGCAAGGACTGACCGCTATCTGTACATCATCCACTGGCTTTACACATTACCAGGTGCTAAAAAGAAACTGCATCAACATAATCCCTAAGTTTTCAAGACTGAATGTATTAAGAAATGACGTGCAAGAGTAACTAACCAGAATCAGATCCACCCATGGAAGCACTTGAGGCCGAACAAATCAATCTTTTCGACGACTGAAACCTAGGCCACGTCTTCCTGGAAGCATACACATTGCACAAAAAAATGCATTTAAATAAATTGATTTCCAGAGAACCTGTATGACATCTTCTATACGATGAGTTCGACTAGCTGTTGAACATCTCACGACTCACAAAAGAATTATAAGTTTGATTAATCATCAAATAAACAAGTAGCTGATCGCCGGCATCTTCCCTCAGGTAAACTGGATGATTGTGAGTCACCTTATTGGAGCACCAAGTGATAAGTCTGTCCGCAAAGAGTGTGATATCTGTCCAGACCTCCTGGATACCATTGACGAAGCTGTGGAAATCAGGATAATAAAATCAGATTATTCTAAATACATCATCACGAAGGCTTGAAAGAGAAGAGCAAACAATACTGTGCTTGTCCAAACTCTATTCAAGACGAATCAATAATTACAGACACAGGAACCCAAGCAGGAGCACAAAATCAATGTTAGCGGAAATTACGACCGCTAAAATCTTGATCATTAGGTAAAAGTCCAAGAAATTTCACGTAATAGAAGAGCTGAACGAATTTTAAATGGTCATCAAAACAACGCCAGCGGAAGAAATAAATTTGGAAACAATACATAGCCACAGACAGCTTCAAGAAGCAAAAACACATGCCCAGCACAGTTTCGTATGTCAGAATTGAACCTGAGCATTTCGACTTTTTCACATTATAAAGTAGGCTGGGCTCAAAACTGTAGTTAGCAGAGAAGGAGACATTTGCATTCATTTGTACCAAAGTCTTACTATTGCCCCTCATCAAGGAGAACGTAAAATTATTAGACAACGCCGCCATCCTGTTCATACAAACACAACATGCAATCAAAAGCATAAGTGCCTGGGTCAGGAAGACTTAGGGTCTTGATACAGGAGTTGATGCATACATATGTAGTTGCAAAGAGAGAAGTGGGCATTTGATTTCATCTCTTCAACTAGAAATAGATCATCAAAAATCGAAAACTAATTCAATTAAAAGCCAAATTCAAGTGAGAACACTTCATCACGTACTATATAGAAAAGTTCTCTCCCCCCTTCCCCCCCGCCGTCTGCGACTTTCAGTAATTTTATAAGTAGGTCTTTGCATACGCGATTAGGAATGAGAAAAGGAACGACCAAGGCAGCACTATACCCCGTGAATTTCGTTTGAAATATAACGATGAGATAAAGTGGACAGAATGTGGAAATCAAAACCTTCCAATACTTGCGTCTAATCACAATGCAAAGAGCAATAAATATTGCCATTTCCTGCAATGCCTCCATAGTCGATTGAATCCAACGAAGAGAAGATTCTGTTCCTACGACAAAACCTCTCAAGTCTCTTGACCTAAGATTCCTAAAAACCCCTCGAGACGACAATCAACGACAACCAAGACGGCCGAGCTATGAAGCACGGAAAACTTCACTGACATTTCACACTACCGAAACCCGACGAAGCGTTTCATAATTCATAAACCACAGCATAAACCTCTTTCATCATTCCGATACCACATCCTAGGCACTGAAAATTCCAAAAAAAAAAAAAATTCAAAACAAAAATATCTGCACTGTTCCGGCACCGCAGTGAAGATATCCAAAAGTATTCTAGAGCGGCCGAATTAGGAAGCAACCTGCACCACGACAAGAAAACTCACTTGGAGGTTTTAGTCAAGTCGTCGGGAAACCAGGGGCGCCGCGAGAGGGCCTTTCAGAAACAGCAGTGCACGCAACACGTGCAATTTAAGCTGTTTTAGCTAGCGAGAGGTGGCACCGAGGGAACGGAGACGATGAGGAGGAGGAGGCGAGAGGAGGAAGTTGAAGGGGAGGAAGAGGCTGGATCTAAGGTTCCCCTGGCTATGGCGGGGGCCGAAGTCGAGGTCCACGGCCATAGCTATTGAAAACATTATCCACTCTTCGCCAACAACAGTAGGTCAGGGCTCCATTCCCACTTGGCGTGTTCACACTGCGCCATTCCTTGGCCTTCCTTGGCCTTACTTCTTTCTTCTCCGTTGGCTCCTCGCCGGAATGGATGATTATCTGAATTCATCCATTCAATGTTGGTTCTTCACTTTGTTTTAAAGAATACGCAACAGTATAGTTTAAATTTTATTTTTTTACTTTCACTTTTATATTTTGTAATTTTTTTATCGTCACTTTGAAATGGTGGATCTAATTTTGACTTTAAATAGATACGGGTATTCTGTGTCGTAGAAAATGAGTATTCATCCTGGATATTTTTTATTTTGATTTAAGTTTATGATTTACTGTTTTTATTTATTTTTTTACATATTTATTAACTTGTTGTATATTTACATTAACCATAATACTGCGTTGTAATTGAAATTGATTAAAAATTTGTAATTATGCTATACAAGGGTTTGTATTTTTAAACAAATTACTAAGATTATTTAACTTTTCAACTCTAGAAATAAAAATAAATTCAGTGTCTAAATAATATGTATATCATATTTTTACTGTTTTTTAATAAAAACTTTTTTATGTATTAATTATTTATATTAAATTTAAAATATGAAACTAAATTGTATAAATATGATGTGAATATTTAATTATATATATATATATATATATATACATTCTAGTCATTTTGTCATTGTATTATTGTGCACAAACTTTCAAAAGTCAAAATAAACCAAAATTTGCAAATGGGTGTACCTTAATAAGCTATCTATCCATCTTCCTAAAAAATGATACTACAAGATAGAATTGAAATTTGAAAGAAAAAAAATTATTAAAAAAGGAAAGAACATTAAAAAATTTATTAAAAAATTTTAAAAATTTATATCAAAATATAAATTGATTTAAAATTTAAGCTAAAAATATTGAAAAGTAATTTTTAAAAAAAAACAAACAAATTGTGGTGATAATATATATATATATATATATATATATATATATATATATAAAAGTAAAATTTTAATATAAGTTGCATTAGAAAGTCTATATTTGTTTATGTTTCTTCTATTTTTTGAGGTTAAAATGCTCATATTGATAAAAATAAAGAAAAAATACATCTATTATTTTAATAAAATTAAAAATAGTATTTAAAATATTAAGCAATTTAACCTTGGTTCTAATTCCAAATTTAAGCAAACCATGAAAAAATATGAAAATTGAAATGAACTTAATATTGAACAAATCTTTTGAAGATAAATCTCTTTCTTTCAATTTAAATTTTGACTTAATTAAGTAAGCATCAACAACTTTTATTTGCATAATGTAATTTTTTTAATCCTTTAGCAAGTGCATAGATGTTAAAATGAGGTATAATTAGAAAATATGTAGAGAATATATTTCTTGCATACTTAGATAGTAGTGCTAAGTATGCAATAACTTGAGTTAATTAGTCTAAGATGGATTGCCGACCTTGGACATGGCTACTATCTTTTAGTTATTAGTGATAGAAAATTTAAAGTATATCTTATCATATTACTACTAATACTATCAATCTAAAAATTTCTTTTTCTTTAACTAGGCAAAATAAATTCTTTAATGTATTCTTACCATCACTTATTTTTATGAAAATTTAAACATTAAAAAATATCAATACTAAAGACTCTCTTTCTCTCTCTCTCTCTCTCTCTCTCTCTCTCTATATATATATATATATAATAATAATAATAAAACTTTGTGAAACTTCTAGAAGTTTCACTTATATATATATATAATAATAATAATAAAACTTTGTGAAACTTCTAGAAGTTTTTTAAACATATTGTAGAACTATAAGTCTCTTTAATTGTGCCACATGATTATGATAACCCAGTTTAAAAGGTTTTTAGATATAAATATATTCTAAAAATATTCTTATCTTTCTAGATTTTTCTTTCTAATAAAACTTATATATAATCTTTATTTAATTAGATTATATAGAAGTAAGGTTTAAATCATCTTCAACTATATTAAGGCATTTCTTATAATCTACTTTTAAATTAAGAATCTCTATTTTCAATGTATGTTATAATATATATATATATATAATATTTAAACTAATTATAAATAAATATTATATATAATAATAAAAATTATAAAAAAATTAAATCAAGAAATGCAATGACAACTTAACATGGCTACATTGCTACTTCTTTAAGTATATAAGTCCAAAAATTATAAACATCAAGTCACTTGTCAATACTCAATAAATTCTCAATTTTTATTAGCCTTGTAATCATTATGTACAAGTGTCTTCTTACCATCACTTATTTACTTTGATTTCGTCTACATTCTCTAAGTTTTATCTTCCTTCTACCATCCATTCAATATTGATTTAATTTTACAAAATAGGTATTAATCTCACATTCTGAACTTTTTTCTTTATCCATCTATCATCTTTTGTTGATAGAATTGGATGAAAGATAGTTATTTTAGATTTAATAGAAAATTCATGAATATGCAACTAATTTTTGGGCTATTATAAAATGTTAAAAGCAAGGGTTAATAATTAAGATTTTAAGAGTTCAAAAAAAAAAAAAAAAAAAAAAAAACCTTAATCTTTCTTATATGATGAAATAGAATTAATGATTTAAAGTTAATTAAAATATTTTGGTATTGAGAGCCACTTATATTTTGTATTGATTCAATATTAAGTAGCAACTGAGTACCTATTCATCTACTATCATATTCCATAGCTTTGACAAGAAAGGTATAGAGTTGGTACCTTGAAAGTTTTATTTGATCTTTGCACATGTATGAGGGAGACCAATCTTAGTTTTGAAAGTTTTACTTCATCTTTGCACATGTATGAAGGAGATCAATCTTAGTTTTGCCTTACTTGATGTTTGCCCCCTATCCATACGTAGCAAGTGCAATATAACCAAAAATAAATTGAATAGTATGAGACACTAAGCTAAGGTCATCAATTGGGAGGGGCAGTGCTAGTGGCACAAGATTGCAGTTGCAATAGATGATGGAAGCAATAACTAGTTGTAGAAATCATTTATGTCTACTTATATTACATACCATGAAGTTTTAGTCCTTCTCCATACTATGTTTGCTTTAGCCCTCTCCTAGCTCTAATTGAAGCTCCTTTGGCTTTATTCCTTTGGATTCTAAATTTCAATTTTAGTGAGAGGATACGAACAAACATATAAATTATTTGTTAAAATTATATCCAAAATCCCTTTATGCATGAAAAAATAAAATAAAATACCATGGTCCCAAGTGAGAACCTTTTTCTAACTTTGTCCTCTCCGGTTGAATTGGACAAGATAAATCACTGTAATGAATTAGATTACTTGGATTAAAGAGGGATATGAAGATAGTTTACATGATCAACTCAACACAACCAAGAGGTGTGATTCTCAAAGGGAGTTGGTGAATCTAAAGCCTCCTGCACCAAAACCTCATCTATCAAAACTTCTGGCACAGACAACACAACACCAAGTTGCAATTCAATGTTCACAAGGCGCGCCATAGCCCAGTGGGGCTGCTTTGTTTCGGCAGATTCGTCAACTGAGAGAGCTGAAGGAAGTCTTTGGCAGGGCTCCAGGTGAGGAACACTACAACCACGGAGACGAAGCCCACAACAATCCCAACAACGAATCCGGGAGGCGAAATCACGTTAGAGAATGACAATGCCGTTGAATCGTCAGCTGGGATGATGTCAATAAGTGAATCGCAGGTCCTGTTAAGAGGTGCACCACAAAGGCCGTCGTTTCCAGGAAGAAATGCAGTGATGTTCATGCTTTGCAATTGATTTCCCTCAGGGATTTGTCCAGACAGGTTGTTGTAAGCTAGCATGAGTGTGCCCAAATTACTGGACTTGCCGAGAGATGGCGGAATGCTTCCAGTGAGACGGTTGTAGGACAGGTCCAGAGATTCCAGGTAGAGGTCACCCAGGTTTGATGGAATTGTGCCCGAGAATTTGTTATATGAAAGGTTCAGATACTTCAGTTGGGTCAACTCCACAATATTCTCTGGAATGCTGTCCTGGAGGTTGTTCGATGCCAAGCTCATGGAGGTTAGCGTTAGCAATATGTACTCGTACTTCAGTTGGTGATCCTTCACTGTAATCTCGAGGCTTTGCTGAAGTGGCGCTAAGGTAGAGTTCGCCGCTTGTTTTGAATCGGTTCTGAATCCCCGCATCTTGGTGAAGTTGCCTGAAACGTCGCCGGTGATCATGTTCTCCGAGAGATCGAGCACTTGCAGCATGGGAAGCTCCCAGAGCCACGACGGTATTGGACCTACCAGATTGTTGAGCCCTAGCACGAGCACTCTCAAGTTGGAGAGGGATGAAACGTCGTATGTGGCTGGAATGCTTCCATTAAACGCGTTTCGAGAAGCGTCGATCATGGTGAGGTTGCTGTATGTGGCCAACGATTCGAAGATGTTACCCGTTAAGGAGTTGCTGGTGACTGACAGGGTTTGTAGCGCACCTGCCAGATTGCTAGAATTCAAAGAAAAATTTCCCTGCAAGTTGTTGTGCCCGAGCAAGAGTTGTTCTAAGTTGGTTATGTTTCCAAGCAATGGAGGCACTGTCCCTGTCAAGTTGTTATAGGCAAGGTCAATCGTGACAAGTTTTGAGCATTGGCTGAGGCTCGATGGGATCGACCCTACCAGCTGGTTCCTGGATACGACCAACCGCTCCAATTTCTGAAGGTTTCCAAGACTACTCGGCAAGACTCCAGTGTGAGAATTGTTGGAAAGCACAAGGTTCTTGAGCGACGAGCAGTTGCCAAGGGAGGCCGGGATATCACCAGAGATCAAAATGTTGTTATAGAGCGCAAGATCCTCCAATTTCTGCAGTCCACCAAGCCCTTCAAGTATGGTGCCATTCAGCTTCGGATTGTTTTGTAAGTGCAGTCGAACGAGTTCCTTGCAATTTACCAGTGATTCCGGAATCGGTCCTTCAAGATCATTGCCATCCAAGTGCAGATATTTGACCCCAGTGAAGTTCCCAAACGAATCGGGTATGGTGCCGCGAAGGTTGTTGTTATCAAGCTGAAAATTCATCATATCCTTGCAGTTTCCAAGTTCAGGCGGAATGATGCCAGTGAGGTTGTTATTGCTGAAGGCAAAGTTCCACAACTTTGGACATTTTCCTAGAGATGCTGGTACGGTACCAGTGAAATGGTTGTCCGAAACATGGAGCTGCCACAGATCGGTACAATTTTCACCAAAAGTGGGAGGAATCCGCCCACTAAGATTGTTGTATTCCCCGTGAAGTATCCACATCGCGCTACAGTTCTTCAGAAACTCGATTTCTCCATTGATGCTATTGTTTTGGAACATTAAGACGCTGAGCTTCTGCAACTTCGCAAATCCCCTTGGAATTGGGCCTGTCATATTGTTGAAGTGAATAAGAAATCCTTGTAGCTTAGGACAATTCGCCAAGGTTTCCGGAATTGTCCCCGTGAGCTTGTTGTTGTTGACCGCTAAGCTTTGGAGTTCAGTGCAGTTGCCGAAACTGTCTGGGATTTCACCAGTTAAGTTGTTCCACATTGCAAGAAACGATGTCAGGTTGCGAACCGTTCCAAATTCTGGTGGAATGTTCCCCGTTAGCATATTGGATGATACATCAATGCTTTCAAGATGGCTCAACTTGGCCAGCTCAATTGGGATTGTTCCAGTCAGGTTGTTGGCGCCGACGTCAAGCTCCCGAAGATTGGTGCATGAGGACAGCTCGGCAGGGATATTTCTAGTGAGGTAATTGTTGTGCAGAGCTAGAGTCTCCAATGAGGTCAACTTTCCAAACTCCACTGGTATAATTCCTGAGAGGTTGTTTTCTTTAGCTTTGAATGACACGAGTTTTGAACAATTCCCAAAATCAGGAGGAATAGATCCAACAAAGCGGTTCTTACTGATAACAAACGTCGTGAGGTTCCTCAGAGTTGTGAAAGCGGTAGGGATTCTGCCAGTAATATTGTTTTCTGAAACATCTATGGATTCCAGATGGCTGCAGTTCACGAGCTCAACTGGGAGCGGACCTGTGAGCTTGTTGGCACCTAGGTCAAGCTCCCGAAGATTGATGCATGCCGAAAGCTCCGTTGGGATTGAGTCCGTAAGACTGTTGCTGTGAAGATCGAGGATCTGCAAGGAGGTGAGGTTCCCAAGCTCCACAGGAATCGAGCCCACGAGAGAACTATTTCTGATGGTGAGGTTTGTCAAGGCGGTGAGCGAACCGAGACTTGAGGTAATAGTTCCATCCATCAAACCATCTGCAACACCAGGTGTCAACAATTTACATTCACGTTGAAGCATATAGTTCATGATCCCAAGCTTTCAAGCTGAATAAACTTGAATAATCATGAATGGAAAGCAAGGGAAATTAATTAGGTGCCTCAGTTTTCTTACCTGTTAAGTTCAAGCCGATCACTCTTCTTGTTTCCAGGTTACAAGTTACACCATGCCACCCACAATAATCCTCATTTGCAGTTGCGTTCCACCCTCGAAGTATTCCTCTGGAATCGTTGACAATTGCTTGCTTAAACTCCAACAGTATACTTCCGTCCGTGGGGGTGCTCTGCAACAACATTCTCGACAAAAACCTCCCACCTTCGTTTTCGCAACCCAACGGCTCATCTCCTTCACCTTCATGTTCGCTAGGATATCCTGCTGGTACTTCTTCATCTTCGTTACTTACATCGGATACAAACGCAACCTCCCCATTCATGAATTTGTATGTATTCTGCAGGGATTACGAAGTATAACTACGTTCATAGCCAATAACATCAATGATTTTAATGACCGGCCATAGCGCGACGAGCAACAACACCGACAGACCTCAAAAAAGTTGCGAGAATGTCTAGAGAAAAATTCCAGATGCCGAGCACTTCATTCTAAAGCCGCAAAGAACCACAATGCGCCTTACTAGCCAGTTCCTCAACCTCGCAGGGTTCCAAACAGACTCTACGAACTGACCTGTGTGGAGTCCTGAGTGCCATAGACGCGAATCAGTGCTTCGCCGCGTCTAGAATGACTTCCTTCCTCAGCAGCTAAACTTTGCGCGACGAATTGCAGAGACATCGTCACCGCCAGCAAGAATTTGATGCACTTCATCTTCTCCACCTCAAAATCAACACAGCGTACAGCTTTGCTTCATATCAAGTCCAGTTCATCAACGAAACACCCAGACTTGAATTCCCAACAGAAAAAGAAACAATACTACAGCACGCGGTGGTACTCCGACAACCAAGGCAACGTTTCACTGCCGTAGGGTTTTTCCAAGTCACCACGAAGCACAATCATCTGTGTCTTCCCAGCCCACTCGCTTGACTGATTCTGATGCTTTTCAAAATCCTCACCTACGGCTGACTACCACTGAAATTTTCGACGTTCAACATCCTGCCACATAATTTTCAAACCTCCGTACTGGGGTACTTTTTACAGACTCTTGTAAGTTAGCCTGTGAGATCCACCTCATCAATTGCTCTCACCACTCCTAGTAGCTGTGAGAAACCTTCAGGCCCCACATGATGGCTCAGTGCAGTTCGATCACTGAGCGTAATTGTTGACAAAGCTGTCATCTCTTGCTCTTTCATGACATGGGCTTAGCATTTAAATGTAAACTAGCTGAACCCGTGTCATTGTCACGGAAAGCCATTACGAGAGTCTGACATTCACCCAATTCTCCACTTTGCAACTTGATCCGATTATTAAGGAAGTTCAGTCTCAAATCCTTACCAATCCCATGAGAAAAGGAATAATTCAAAAGATGTATGTGGTTTAGATCAAGGATTGTAAGCTATTGTACAAAGTATTGAAAGGAGTCTCTTTTTCAGTGACGCTGATGTCTCGAAGAAGTTGCAGAAGACTCAAGCACTTCAAGGTCTGTAATTCAAGAAACAATCCAGGTCATTCTTAAGTAATCGCATAATTTTGAGATGCTGAACTCAGCAAGTGAACACTAAACCTGACACACCAAGAACTTCTATTATGCAAATTGATAATAAAATCCATGGTAATCACCGACACCCACCACATTCCACCCAAGTATGCTAAGACTGAAAAAGTCGTTGAGTGCTTAGTTGGTTATGTAAACTCATAGCAAGGAAAAGCTTGGAAAAAGTGACTAAAAAAACATTATTTATTACACACAGATATACTTGGTATAGTATTCCATTGTAAACCAGATTGTGAACCCCATGAGCTATAATGTCGATTAGTTCGTTGGTGAATTAAGTGGTTTCACGGTTAAAATCTTTGTGAAGACAGAAACCACATTCAACTCGGTTGTAACAGTCTTCTCATATTCCCTACTTTAAAGCTTGCTATGCTCTGTAAATCGTAATTAAATTCGGGACACCGTTGGATGAGACAACCTTCGAGTGACCCATTTCAATGGTTCATCGGGTGTTCACGGCTATAAGGGGCACCTGCAGATCAGAGAAGTGATCCTCGGTCAGCAACCTGCAATGCCATTACTCACATACGCTTGGTCTAGACAAGGTCTACCAATGTTGGATAAACAACATCAAGTAAGGACATTAATTATCAATTAACAATCATGTAATCAAGAAGATTAACTACATTATCAAGTAATAAGTTTTTGGCTATTATCAAGCAATATTCAATTAGAATAAAGATAATAGTCAAAAAAGTAGTAAATTAAAGGATACTATGGCTGCCTTTTACAAAATAGACTTCTATTTACTTTGTAGGGCCATAAATAAGGCAAAACAAATTAGATTGGAAAATCAAATGATATAGGCATGTGTATGAGGGAGTTAAAAGTAGATTTTAGGAAAATTTATGTCAAGAAGCTAAAAATTGATACCCAGAGAGGACTAGTTGTCAACTTAGATGAAAATCAAATCCCAAGGCACAAAACTATACACCTATGGTGATTCTAGGATTCTTTGGTAGGTCAAAGAGTGGAATTTGAGAGCAAACTTGATAAGATTTCTATGAGCATTGGTTTTTTGTGATTTGGATTTGCAATGACTTTGTAAGAGCTTTACAAAGTCAAGGTTGTTTTGGATGACTTGGATTTTTGTGAAATAAGATAAGATTGACATTTTGAGCAATTTTAGAACTTTTATAGTAGATCTACAAATGTAATTTTGTAGATTGGTGGATATAGTTGTGCTTGATGTATGTTGTAATTTTAAGTTCAATCAAACAATTAGATCAAAGTGTGCAAAAGTTTTTGTGAATTAAAGTCTCAGAAATTGGAGTTTAAGAGTTAGTGAGTATTTTTAAGATTTTCAGCAATTTGTTAATTGGATTGAAGTGAAATTTTTTTGTATTGAGATTAGACTTGATTTCCAATAGTTTAAGTGAATTTTGAAAGAAAATTAATAATTCAAATGGGAGATACTGGCATTAGAAGTTTAACATTTAGATTGGAATAGGAGGCGGGCCAATACTTGAGCAGATTTTAGGATTTTTCTTCTATTTGTTAAGTATAATTATCTTCAAATTTGTTATAATTATTTTTAATTAATCAGTTGAGAGGTGTGTAAATTTTTAAGAAAGATTAATAATTTAATCAATGGATATTAGAATTTTAATCTACCTTAGGATTAATTTGAGTTGATTAGGTTTTGTCTAGGATTTGATTTAAGATTTAGGAATTTTTTAGGATTTGGTTCAAGATTTAGGATTTTTTTAGGATTTAATTTATTATTTAAGATTTATTTATGGTTTAATTTAGGATTTAGAATTTATCTAGGATTTGGTTTAGGATTTGTTTAAGATTTGATTTAGGATTTAGGATTTAAGATTTAGTTAGGATTTGATTTAGAATTTAGTTAAGATCCATTAAGATTTTAATAAGGATTAAAATAGGACTTGGTTAAGATTTATTTAAGATTTATTTAAGATTTCTCTAATATTTTTTTAGGATTTCTTTATTTTTCTTTTGTAATTTCTTTAAGATTTCTTTTGAATTTGATTAAAGCTTGATTAGCATTATTAAGGTTTAATTAGAGTTTATTTAAGATTCTATTAGAGTTGTTAAGATCTTATTGTTTTAATTTTCTTTCTACCTTCCACAACCAAGTATCCAATGTATTTTCAAGCAAGACTTTATATAATACAACAATGTCAAAAAGATACTACTGTAATTTCTTCTTGATTTCTTTTCACAATCATTGGCAATATTTGGCAAAAATCTCCATCAAAGACTATTATAGCTCATTCAAAGGAGCACTGAATATTTCAAATATTTCTAAATGAATGATCAATTATCTTAAGATAGTAATTATATTTCATCAAAAATTCATTCCAAAGAATAAACAAAGTTTGACAAATAAACTCAATATGGCTAAAATTCTTAGTAATTGAATAAAAAGAGTCTTTGTTGTAATCTAATAGAATCTTGAATGAAGAATGGACAATCCTTCTTCTCTCAAGTATCAATGTGGCAATTTATAATGTAACAAAAGTATATATATTATCTTGCTACTTCCATTGTTGTACACATCTCAAAAATTAAAATTAATACTTTCTTTTATCTTTTAGTACATTCTAAAATTGTACCTATCTTGTCATTTGGATCATATACCACTTAATGCATTCTTAAAAGATTAATGGCCAAACAAACAACATTTGGCATTTCTTCATAAATCCACATGCTAAAAAGTTTTTAAACAGCCTCTAAAGTTTTAATATATCTTGCATCCAAATATTGTTTGATCTCATCTTGTTGATTTTTAAATTACATTGTAATGTGATTATGGCTTTTATAGATATATTTGTGGATATATTTGATGATACAAATAAATACACATACTTCAATATTTATATAAAAAATATACTTTAAGATATTTTTAGATAAAATAGAATAATATTCTTATTATTAACAACTATTTTTTGAACTTCAAATGTTCTTTTATCATTTCTTTGTCATTATTGATGATAACTATTGACATCCATTCTTATTTCTTTTGCAAACATCTCTAGATACCTCTTTATATAATGATAAACTTCAATACAATGCACTCAAGGATTTTATATTGTCTATAGATCATATATCATGCATTATAGAATAACTTTAAATAGCTTTCAATTATTGTCTTTAGAAAACATATGATCTATATCTTCAATACATCTAATCTTGTTTTCTTTATTCAAAAAAATCAAAATATATATATGAAGTAGATCTTTCTTTTGAAACTCAACGATATAAATATATACGAGAACATGATCAAAGATAATTTTTTTCTTTATATCTTCCATAATTACATATTTTTTGAACTCAAATATATGAGCAATTAAATCTAACTAGTTACTTCTTTATTATCCTTGAAGCAATTCATTATGGATTTTGGACCATCTTGGATTTGCTATCATTATCATAAATATATCAAGATACTGATAAAACCTTGTAATTTCTACAGAATCTTAAAATATTTCCATCACATATCTTATATTTTCAATATGTGATGATGGAAGTAAGATCTTATGTTATAAATTATTTATTTTATATCTTCCTTCTTTAGGTCTAATATTTTAATGAATTACAATAGTATCTATCAATCTTTAGTACAAATCAACATGTAGATGTTTTTGATTATAATGTAGATATCACAAATATGATTATTTAATTTTTGCTTATGTATCAACCATAAATTCTTGCAAAAGCTTTCTTCCACATAAAATTGTCAAATACTTGGTAGTCATTAATAAAAAGTCAATAAATAAATAACTCATTTATATAAGGTTGTTGCCTCTCCAATCCTCTTGTCCAAGACCTTTTTTTTTTTTTTAATAATATCCATCATTACATTTTTCACCCTTAAGCTAAGATGTTATTCAAGAATTCCATGTGAAAAAAAATATATATATGTTATAAAGAGATAATTAAGCAAAATGAGCCTCATGAATCCTTTCTAATAGTCTATTAATACATAAATGAATAATAATATCATGAAGTGTATTAGGCTCCAATCCATCTCTAGGCAATATAATAGCAACTTTATCAAAAGTAATATCAGCATCTATCTCTTTATTTATGAAGTCCAAAGAAATAGCAATATTTACTTCTACTACTTCTTCATATTATGCTTGAGCTTGTATTTCATATGCTCGTCTATATAATCAAATAAACAAATTATTCTCTCTCAAAACTTCTCCAATTTCCTATACAATTTTCTTTAATAATTCACAATTATGTCTTTGTCTTCTATTTAGTATAAATGATGCATTATGGATATAGAATTGTACATAAGTTGGATCAATACCTTCTTCTAGAAAAAATACTTCCATAAAATGTTATAACTCTCTATTTATTCTAAAATTATTTGGAGTATTTCCTTGAAATATAGGTCAAATAATATTTGCACCTAAGGATGTAAACTCATGTACAATACTGTAATGATAGGTATTTTCTTGGAAATTCCTTACTCTTGTATCTTAATTTATAAATAAGCG